TACGCTAGCGTACGCTAGTATACTAACGTTACGCTAGCGCACGCTGGTGACGCTAGATCGATATCTATCCTTTCTTGCCACTGCCGCTGGCGAACGCTAGAAACGCTGGCCTACGCTGTCGCAAAGTATAAACGCAACCTAAGAGTAACGAGTGCGAAAGAAGTACCTTGAATGTTAGATTACGATAGCTATCGTTAAAGTCGAACTGCAGAACGTCGTCGTAGAGAGCGCTCTCCTCCTCGATAATCCTCTGATCATTTGGTAAGCTTGGCCTACCCACAGAAAATAGAATAGTGTAGTTGAACTGAAAGTATACTCGTCTGAAGTACCACTTCTCTTACTGAAGAATAAGCAAGACAATTACCTGGCTTTTCAATTGCCCGGCGCCGTACGTATTTCGCCAGTTAGTTCTCGATAGAGCATCTTCCGCCCGCGCATGAACAACCACAACGAAGTCAACCTTTGCACAAATGGGAACCCTCGGCGCGATAGTACACTTGATTGGCGACAGTCGCTGAAACTCTTGACTATTTTGAGAGATTTCCATGCTGAAAAGATTCGGAAATGAGCATTCGGGCTTCAACTGAAGCAGGAGGAATCTCAAAAGACAGTCTGAGTGAGACCCTTTGTTCCGCTGTCGCTTTGAAAGAAATATTTGATTGAGTACACGGTGGTGGAAAAGTGGGCACGTGAATGAGAGACCAGATGACGAAGGGCGAGATACCTACGATCGAGTAATGCACGTCCGTCACACGGTACTTCCCTTGAAGACACGCTCCGCGAAACTGAGGCAATAACTTCTAAATGTGTCAGATGACCCGGTAGGCGAGTGTAGAAGCTCCGCTGCATTCAAAATTCGGAAAATGGCACGCAAAGCATTAACTTTGATTTCAGGCTCGGTGGCCCTTACCTTCCTACATTGCCCGTGTCGCCGCAATATGGCCGTTGTGCTATATCACCCATCCATTTCTGGTTTCTCTCCGCGCTTTACAGTGTATAGCCAGTTTCTCCACATCACTGTTGACCTTGACCATCTTCCTTTCGTCCAGTGATCGTGATCGAATGCATAAAAGAGAGCCGTATTGAGGGCGGCTTTCTATGCTTTTTTTCTCACTTCTCAGGAACCTAGATCACTACACTCCTGTTTTTGAACACTGTTACCTACGATGTGCAGTCGCAGGGGAGTGCCTCTGAGCGTCTCTCGTCTGAAGGGAGCGTGAAGGACGATGAAAAAAATTTCTCAATATCCTAGTTAGCCATTTCTGGAATGCGAGTGTGCCACAGTGCTTTGAGGCGCTGACTTGGCTACCTCACATACGCACGTAACAATATGATTACAAAGAGTGTTCTCGAGACTCGATGAAGCACTGGATTTTGCGGGCTGTCGGTGTCCGTTGAGATATGGAGTGATTTCCTCTGTTTTTCGGGTTGCTTGGAAGGTAAGAGTAAAACCCACAGAATCTATGAAAGGCTGTTTCATGTACAACTGCCTCATCAGCACGTTCGTCCTCTCCACCGCAAGTTGTCGAGAAAACCGCTCATCACGTGGGTGGTTGATATTCTGCTTGAAAAGCTAGTGAACTGTGGCGATATTACTCCTTAAAAAGTAGTCAGAATTAAGTCACTGAAGCTCGAACATGATTGCAAAAAGACGAGCTCAAAGGCAGTTGGCACGATAAATCCCTGAAGACGAGTATGGTCAGTACGCGTGCCAGGACGGAATTCTGCGCCCCTTAGCAGGCTCTGCGTAGCGCCTTTCCCAAGGGAGGTAAGGTCCTATCAAGCCACAACACAGCGATCTCACCACCACGTCCGCCGCCCACAAGTGGACGACTGTACCTGATGCTCGTACTGCTTCATTTGCTAAGTAAAATATGAAGCGAAGGGATTGGTATGAAGCGGCTGCGGTGCTGCATGGATATATGAGTACATACATGCAGCCGAACCTATTGACGATATGCTTACGGGAAACTTGTCCGGAATTGCTTTTTAAGAACGAGCTTTCCTTCGCAGTTTTCAACCGTTTCACTTCGTTTTTTTTTGCCATTTTCCTACTATATAGCGCTCTGCTAGCATTTTAGGACCGAGTGCCAAATTTCCATGCCAACATAATTTCAGAATATCACAGGATCGGCTTTCAATTAATCTCGGCATCAGAGACGTAATAATTCAGAATGTTTCTTCAGCCTCCCGAGATTTGTACAGATATTTTATTGGACTAACGTTTCGGCGAACATCGCCTTCTTCGGAGCCTGCAAGTCGAAACCTATCATCGAAACAATTCATTCAAGCACCATTTCTAATTACAGTAAGAAACTACGGGCTAGGATATCTTAGAACTAAGTCGAAAGCCACCTTTTGACGGGTAGAACTTCTACCGGGCACTCTGAGTTTCGAGACTACAAGACGGTAGAATACCGTCAAAAGGTTGGTGGCTTTCGACTTAGTTCTAAGATATCCTAGCCCGTAGTTTCTTACTGTAATTAGAAATGGTGCTTGAAGTGAATTGTTTCGATGATAGGTTTCGACTTGCAGGCTCCGAAGAAGGCGATGTTCGCCGAAACGTTAGTCCAATAAAGTATCTGTACAAATCTCGGGAGGCTGAAGAAACATTCTGAAAAATTAATTTGAGCTATTTTCTGTGATTGTACAACGCTCCGACTGCTAGCGCTTTCTAAAGGTACGCGCTTCGCTCCCGATCGTGGTCATTGCCATGCGGGAGGTGAGCTGGATCGCCGCTGTAGAAGTGTGCTACTTTGGTCAATCAAAAGCGCGCAGGGTTGAGGCCGGAGTGTAGTGTGTGTGAGTCAGATGCCAAGCGGGACTTAAAGGCAGTTGGCACGATGGTTTCCTACTTAGCCTAAAATGCTAGTAGGGCGCTGTATAGTGGGGAAATGGCGAAAGAACGGAGTGAAACGGTCAAAATCCTGCGAAGAAAAAGCCTCCGTTCTCAGTGACTTGAAAATCGATTTCGGACGAGTTTCCCGTAGGCATCTTGCCAATCACCGCTACCGAAGATACGGCTGCATATGTGTACCCATATATGCATGCAGCATCACCCAGCGTCAGGCCCAGGTTGACAGGCCGGCTGATGGAGGAACCCGTCACAACAATCATGACAAGTCGCAAAAGTATCAGTGTTAAAGCTAGGACGTCACCCGGAAGTGGCGCGCAGAACCCTCGCCCGAGTTCTGTGGTCAGTATGCGAGGGCTACCGAGGGGTGAACGACCTCGGCCAAAGAAGCTAGTTCGAATTGGGACCCTGAACGTGGGGTCGCTTACCGGGAAGTCTCGTGAGGTTGCCGACCTCATGAGGAATATCCAAGTCCTATGCCTTCAGGAAACGCGATGGAAGGGTGCGAAGGCCCGCGAGATTGGAGAAGGTGTCAAACTCTTCTACAATGGAGCAGACACCAAACGGAATGGCGTGGCCATAGCGGTGGCAGAATCCCTCAAGGACTGCGTCTCCTCTGTGAACAGTGATCGGATCATGGGAGTGAGAATGGACACGAAGGAGGGGTACTGGACAGTACTGACCGTGTACGCACCACAATCCGGTTGCTCCGAGGCGGAAAAGGATGAGTTCTACCTGACCCTGGACGAGGCCATAAGATCGGTTCCGGAAGATGACTACCTCACCATAGCTGGGGATCTGAATGGCCATGTGGGAAAGTGACAGAAGGGGTCTAGAAAGGGTGCACGGAGGCCAAGGAATAGGAGACAAAGAACGCCGAGGGAGAACGGATCGTTGACAGCCCATTATTAGCAATCTGTAGCACCTTCTTCGCGAAAAGGAGGACTCAGAAGATAACCTACAGCAGTGGAGGGAGACAAAAGGAAATCGACCATGTCCTGGTCAGAAGATCGCCTCTCAAAACCGTCAAGGATATCAAGGTACTGCCTGGGGAAGAGCTGGGCCCTCAGCACAGGCCTCTC